TTTATTACTACTACTACTACTACTGCTACTACGATTCCTACTATTACTACTACGACTACTTCTACTAGTACGACGACGACGACTGCTACTATTACTACTACTACTACTACTACTACTACTACTACTACTGCTACTACTACTCCTACTACAACTAGTAGTAGTACTAGTACTACTACTACTACTACCGCCACTACTACTACTACTACTACTACTACTACTACTACTACTACTACCACGATTACTACTTGTACTACAAGTACTACTGGTACTACTACTACTACTACGAGCACTACTATTATTACGACTACTACTATTACTACTACTACTAGTAGTATTACTACTACTATTACGACTACTACTTCTACTACTACGACGACGTCTAGTACTACTGCTACTACGACCTCTACTACTAATATAACTACTACTACTACTACTACTACTACCACTACTACTACTACTCCTACTACTACTACTACTACTACTACTACTACGACTACTACTACTACTACGACTACGACTACGACTACGACTACGACTACGACTACGACTACTACTCTACTACGAATACTACTACTACTACTACTACTACTACTGCTGCTGCTGCTGCTACTACTACTACTAGTACTACTCATACTACTACTACTACTACTACTACTACTACTACTACTACTACTACTACTACTACGACGACTACTACAACGACTACTACAACTACTTCAAGTTCTACTAATATTACTATTACTGCTATTACTAGCACTATTACAACGAGTACTACGACTGCTAATACTACTACTACTACTACTACTACTACTGCTACGACTACTAGTACTACGACTATTCCGACTACGATTGCGACTACGGCTAGTATAATTACGACTACAACTACTACTACTACTACTACTACTACTACTACTACGACTGCTGCTGCTACTACTACTACTACTACTACTACTACTACCACTACTTCTACTACGTCTACTGCTACTACTACTACTACTACTACTAGTACTACTACTACTACTACTACTACTACGACTACAACTACCACTTCTTCTGCTACTGCTACTACGGGAACGACTACGACTACGACTACGGCTGCGACTACGACTACGACTACGGCTACGACTACTACTACTACGACTACGACTAGTACTACTACTACTAGTACCACTACTACTACCACTACTACTACGACTACTACTACGACTACTACTCCTACTACTACTACTACTACTACTACTACTACTACTACTACAACTACTACGACTACTACTACTATTACTACTGCTACTACTACTACTACGACGACTATTATTACTACTACTACTACGACGACGACGACGACGACGACTACTACTACTACTACTACTACTACTACTCCTGGTACTGCTGCGATGACTACTACCTCGACGACTAATACTACTACTACGTTTGCTAATCTAACAACTACAACGTTTACTACTACTACTACTACTACTACTACTACGACGACAACTGGTACCAGTACTACTACTACTACTACTACTACTACTACTACTACTACTACTACGACTACTACGACTACTACTACTACTATACTACTACGATACTACTACTACGACTACTACTACTACTACTACTACTCTACTACTACTACTACTACGACTAATACTTACATACTATTATTACGACTACCAGCATCACGAACGACGGCGGACGACGACGACGACGGCGACGACGACGACGACGACGACGACGACTACTACTACTACTACTACTACTACTATTATACTTTACTACTACTTACTACTACTACTACTACTACTACGTACTACTACTACTACTACTACTACTACTGCTGCTACTACTACTGGATACTACTACTACTACTACCTACTACTACTACACTACCACTACTACTACTACTACCCCCCACCACCACTACCATTCCTTACTATTACTACTACCCTACTACTACGACTAACTACTACTACTACTACTACTACGACGACCGACGACGACGACCGACGGACGAGACGACGACGACAACTACTACGAGACTACTAATACTACTAACTACTACTACTACTACTACTACTACTTTACTACTTACAACTACTACCACTAACTACTACTACTTTCACTACTACTCTCACTACTACTACTACTACTACTACTACTACTACTACTACTACTACTACTACTACTACTACTACTACTACTACTACTACTACTACTAATACTACTACCTACTATTACTACTACTACTACTACTACTACTACTACTACTACTACTACTACTACTACTACTACTACTACTACTACTACTACTACTACTACTACTTACTACGCCTACTATTTCTTCTACTACTACTACTACTACTACTACTACTACTACTACTACTACTACTACTACTACTACTACTACTACTACTACTACTACTACTACTACTACTACTACTACTACTACTACTACTACTACTACTACTACTACTACTACTACTACTACTACTACTACTACTACTACTACTACTACTACTACTACTACTACTACTACTACTACTACTACTACTACTACTACTACTACTACGGCGACTACGACTACTACGACTATTCCTATACAAGGTCCCGTGTTCCCAGCTTGCCTGTATACGTAGATTTCTCCTCTCGGTAATTGGCCCGTATGGCAGAGATGGCAATATCATAGCGCTCAGTGCAGGAGCCTGGACCCGCAAAATCGGTGGGCATCGTGGCTGCCGTAAGGGTCTCATACTTGACAGACGCCCAATCCAAAAGGGGACGATTGATGCCGGCAAGGCACCAACCAATGGCCAGGGAACATACCCAACCATGTCTAAACACGAGGCGATTGTAAGCAGGACTTCTGAATTATGCTAACGGGGTTCCCCACATAATGATGTTATTGGGATAGCGGAATCAAGAATCATTTTGTCATGAAATTGCCGACCTGCCCTCGCCCTCTCCATCTCTTTCTATCACATGGTTTGCGAATACCCTCCTCGCTCAGGCGGGGCCTCCCTGGAGGGGTGGTAGGGGCACGACACCTGATAAATAACACTGTTTTCGAATACCCTCCTCGCTCAGGCGGGGCCTCCCTGGAGGGGTGGGAGGGGCACGAAACCTGCTAAATAACACTGTTTTCGAATAGCGTCCTCGCTCAGGCGGGGCCTCCCTGGAGGGGTGGGAGGGGCACGAAACCTGTTAAATAACACTGTTTTCGAATAGCGTCCTCGCTCAGGCGGGGCCTCCCTGGAGGGGTGGGAGGGGCACGAAACCTGATAAATAACACTGTTTTCGAATAGCGTCCTCGCTCAGGCGTGGCCTCCCTGGAGGGGTGGGAGTGGCACGAAACCTGATAAGTAACACTGTTTTCGAATAGCGCCCTCGCTCAGGCGGGGCCTCCCTGGAGGGGTTGGAGGGGCACGGAACCCGATAAATAGCACTGCTTTCGAATAGCGTCCTCGCTCAGGCGGGGCCTCCCTGGAGGGGTGGTAGGGGCACGACACCTGATAAATAACACTGTTTTCGAATACCCTCCTCGCTCAGGCGGGGCCTCCCTGGAGGGGTGGGAGGGGCACGAAACCTGCTAAATAACACTGTTTTCGAATAGCGTCCTCGCTCAGGCGGGGCCTCCCTGGAGGGGTGGGAGGGGCACGAAACCTTATAAATAGCACTGTTTTCGAATAGCGTCCTCGCTCAGGCGGTGCCTCCCTGGAGGGGTGGGAGGGGCACGAAACCTGCTAAATAACACTGTTTTCGAATAGCGCCCTCGCTCAGGCGGGGCCTCCCTGGAGGGGTGGTAGGGGCACGACACCTGATAAATAACACTGTTTTCGAATACCCTCCTCGCTCAGGCGGGGCCTCCCTGGAGGGGTGGGAGGGGCACGAAACCTGCTGAATAACACTGTTTTCGAATAGCGTCCTCGCTCAGGCGGGGCCTCCCTGGAGGGGTGGGAGGGGCGCATGGTATTGGTATGGGATTGGTATGGTATTGGTATGGTGGGAGGGAGCTCAGACGAAACCTGATGAATCACAGGTGTTGCATGGTATTGGTATGGTATTGGTATGGCATGGTATGGCTTGGTATGGTGTTGGTATGGTATTGCATTGGTACGGTATGGCCTGGTATGGTTTGGTATGGTGTTGGTCTGGTATGGTTTTGGTATGGTAGTGCTTGGTATGGTATGGTATTGGTATGGCATGGCATTGGTATGGTATGGCTTGGTGTGGCTTGGTATGGTATTGGTTTGGTATGGTATTGGTATGGTATGGTGATGTGCGGAATGGTATCGTATGGTATGGTTTAGGAGAAGGACGCAGGAGGAGGAGGAGGAGGAGGAGGAGAAGGAGAGTGCGCTCTGGGAAAACAAGAACCCCTCTCAGGATGTGGGGAATAAAAAAACACAGAAAAGGATCTGCAGTGCCCATGAACGCTTCGCCCAAAAACGTCGGACCATACTCAACGGCCACTACTCACACACGCACTCTCGCGACTCAGGTCGCAAATAGGAGGACGAATGTGAGCAGGCCAAGGAACAGGAGGACGGGGGCAGAGGGAGGAGGAGGAAAAGGGAGAAAAAGAGGAATAAACACTGCGATGGACAGCGCCGCGCGCCACATTCGTGGGTCCCCCAGAAGCCCGCGCAAGTACACAGATGGCAGCCCCCCAGGGAGCAGCGAGGTTTCGCTTCGGTGCGCGTGGAGCCTCACTCCGCTGGGCCTCCCAGGAGCTCAAGAGAAGTGGCGACAGTTCAGCAGATGGCAGCCCTCCAGGCAGCGCGAGGGGGAGAGGACAGTGGGGAAAGGCAGGGAAAGGGAGGAGGCGGCAGAAGAAGGAGGAAGAGGAGGAGGAGGAGGAGGAGGAGGAG